AGTGGACACATGAGAAGATGGTCAGCATTGTTAATCACCAGGGAAATGCAAATCAGAACCACAATTCCGTGCCTGTTATGCCCATTAGTATGAGTAGTTGTGGTTTTTTAAAGTAGAAATAAAGAGCAATTTGTTTGTTTTAGGATGTAGAGAAATTGGAACCCCGTGCATTGCTTATGATAGAGCCCCTGTGGAACACAGTTTGGCAGTTTCTCAAAGAATTAAGAGAGGATTACCTGTGGCATCCAGCAGTTTCGCTCCTGGATAAAGGCAGAGACACCACTGTTGGTAGCAATTATTGACAACAGAGACTAGATAGAAACAATCCCAGCGTCCATCGCCATTGGATATGAGAAGATGAACAGTGTGATACTGTGTATGTGCAGCCTTAGCCACCGTAAAAGAAATGGAGCTCTGATACCATGCCACAGCATGGATGAGCCTTGAGGCACAAGGCAGGAACACAAGGATAAATATGGGTATGATTGCGTGTAGATGCCGCGCCTCAAGTGGGTAAATTCCTGTAGAGACAGAATAGTGGGTACAGGAGCTGGCGGGGAGTGTGAGTGAGGCGTTAACCACGTAGTGGGCAGTGTTTGGGAAGATGGACAGGTTCTGGAGATGCATGGTGGTCAGGTCAGTGCACAAGACTGACATGTACTTAACGTCCCTGCATTGTACATTTAGAGTGGAACATTTTGTCTGGTATGTTGTACCAGCGTAAAAGCATTGCAAGGATAAGATTGCCAATACATAATGAAAACTAAGGTTAAAACGTGAGCTGCTGTTTTGCCTCATGGTTAGTGACAGTTACTGTTTGGATATGGAGAAACAGTTGGTGGGAACGTGCAAGGTGGTAATGTTCATGTGGAGGTCCGTTTTTCAAAATCTGTCAAAGGTTTAAAAATGCACTAATGTTTTGTCGGTATAGTGCGAATATTTTTTCAGCTTAATGAGATGAGTTGTGAAAGTTAATATCTTTGTTGTAAAGCAAATTTATGTACATTTATAAGTACATGGAAAAGGTTCTGAAAGGATACATGCCTAAAGATACTCACTATGTGTATGTAAAGTAACTTGAAATGCAAATCATAGGAAGCCACGGAGCAGAGACTGGGCCTGGCTGCCTTGTTTTCTCTGCTACACTTACTGCATCGTTTGCTTTCCTTCAAAACGTGTTCCACGTCTCCTGTGGAGCACCACTGCAGAGGGTAGAAAGCAGACTGAGCTTTAGTGTCCTGCTCAGTGTTACACACCGTCAGAACCCTAGGAAGTTAATGATAAAAGTGCTGTTTTTATCAACATCTTTTTAGATTGTATTGTGTATCACAAAGAAAAATAGCTCACAAAGAAACTTTGGTTTATGTTCTTTGGGGTATTTTAAAAGGATCCTTAGAATAGTTGCGATGCTATTCTAGGTTCAGTCTTTAATACGTTGTAGTAACAAGTACTTTTGCAGTTTCCTTCCCCCTTATGGCAGTAACTGGAAATACACATCAGTTCATAATTACAAGCATAAAAGGAGGGAAAGCAGTTTTACCTATTCAAACAGGATATACAGTGGATGACACAGTTGTGTGTGTTGCAGAATTGGTTAGAGGCCTAAAGTCACAGAGATGTCAACTGGAAAAGTAAGTTTAAAATGTATTCAAAAGAGATTAAGAAATGGAGCATGCATAGATAGGTGCCCATGCCTGTGTAGCAGAACCAGGTGTCCAGTCAACGAATCTATGTTGGTGTCATTCTGGTGCCAGATCCAATTCTTGCACTAGGGCTGACCGAGGCAAATAAAGCAAGATTTCGTTCCTGCAGGAGCTATGGTGAAGTAGAAGGGAGGGAACATTACTGTTGTTACACCGTAAAAAGGTGCTGGGCAGTGTGGTGGATCTGAGGGCTCTCTGGGCACAGGGGAGTGCTACCCAACCAGCACCTTCAGTATGAAGCTTGGACTCGCATTGCTACATTTGTGTTACATTCAGGTACATGTGTACTTTGAAGCATCTGATGGAACAAACTTTGAATAAGCTGCAGCTCTCTGAAGAGGTGTTTATGTGGTGTGTCGTGTGGGAGGCCTGGAGGCTGTGACAGATGGGAACCCCGGCATTCCGAGACCCTGTCTGAACAGTCTCAGCTCTCTCTGGTTTTGTTCTTACTCCACTCTGTACTCTGCCTTGCCTTGTGCCATCTTTTACAATTTTTTTGGAGGTTTACTCTGTTTCTTCAGAGTCTCACGTTGAACTTTTCATGGGTCCCTAGGGTCATCAGATAGAGGCGAGGGCCCTAACCTTCCGAGGTGATTCTGTTCCTGTTTATTGAGAACTTACATGTAAAACCAAACCTTTTAGCAGAGAACTACCGACTTCCAGAGATGTACTTTCCCCAGTGGTCGCCCACGTCTGAAGAAGACTCCTCTGATTTCCACACTGATTTTCTCATTTGTAATTTCTCACAAAATTGAAAAAGTCAGTCGTCAGGACAAATAACCCTGTTGTAATTGGAAATTAGGGGTGTTGAAGTGTTTGTTACTTTTGTTCCTTTGAAGTGATGCATATTGGCGTTCTGATTTGGAGTGTTTCCTTTGCTTGACATGAGGGGCCAACTGAAAAATTGTTAAGGGATAGGGACCCTTTTACCTACTGAGGGCCATTTGGATATTTCTAGCATCATGCGCAGGTCATACAGAATTATCAACTTAAAAATTGGCCTGCTATGGATTTAATTTTGTGGGCCAGGGGCTGGACGGTCCTGTGTAACTTGGCAAGTCTGTGAAAAGATTGGACGGCACTCAGGCAAAATTGAAAACACCTTGCATCTCCTTCTACCTTCTTTTCTCTGTTAAAAAGAAGAAAATCTGTGAGGTGACAGAGTGAGGATAGTTTCAGAGGGCTGTAAGTACTCATTTAACTGTTCGTGCAGTAAGTAAAAACACAGATCTGAACTTCACTGTGCACGTTAATCAACATGTCCGTAAGCTGTGTGTGGAAGAACCTTGAAGGGATATGATCTGGAGAAATGTGCTGATACAACATACATGTTTTATCATTTAATTTAGGTTTATTGATATTTGTCTATCAGTCCAGACCAGCAAAAGCCAAGCACAAAGTCTGCTGGATCTAGGACCAGGCTTTTTTAAGATGCATGCCTTAGAAGAGAAGAGCGTCTTAGCCCGACCCAGTGGAGCATGGGTAGCACCAGTCTTTGAAATGAATGGAAAGCAGCTCTGAGATGCGTCATTTGTAGAGAGCTGCTGTCCCTAATTCTGATGACCATTGTGATAGTGTTGTACAAAGACTGATGGGGAGGCCCTTTTCCGTAAGCTTGCTAGTAATTTGGCGCCTGTCCAGGAATGTGAAGGATGGTGAATGTTTAGTTCTGAGAGTTGAAAATGAAGATTTAAAGTTACTGCTCAACTGTGATACTCCTGAAACCTGCATGACTTCATAACAAGTCTAAAGGTCATATGTTGTATGTGCTATCTTAACTGCCTCCAAAAAAAGCTTTGACAAGTGTCCTTCTTTGGTCTTCAGACCAGCCTTGTCAGAGTGTGGAGTGTGTGTTGCTGCCTGAGGGTCTGTGTTCTTGCATTAGAGCCCTGCTGTGTTGACAATTTCGTGGCAGGAAGATGGCATTTTGTGCTCTTTGTCTTGTCTGGGCATCCATGTGCTTCTGGTGTTGTGCTGGAATAAAGCAGGTGTGGTGATCTTTCTTACAACCTGCCTTACATCTCTGAGTTCTTCTGAGGGTGTACACCTAAGCACAGAGAGTGGATCCTGAAAGGGTGTTTATGGACAGCTTTTCTAGAAATGCCAAGTGGCTCTCTGATGTGGGTCTTCTCCATTAGAAACGTGAAGTAAGCCTTGCTTTGCTTCTTGCCAACAGTTGGCATTGTTAGGCTTTACATTTTTGCTACTGTGGTGATGTAAATGAATATCTTCCTCTGTTTTATGTTTTTGTGTTAATTAATGAAGTTGAGCATATTTTTTGTTTGCATTTCTTAGCCATTCAAGTGCTTGCTAAAATCTTTTTATGTCTTGTTTTAAAAATGCTTTCCTATTGAATAGTCTTAATTTATAGAAGTTTTTAAAAATATTATGACTACTAATACTTTGGATGTAATTGTTAAGCTTTTTGAAACTATAAAAACCTTCCTTGTAGTTTTAAAAATCTTTTAAAGACTTAAATAAAAAGTTGAGTCCACCTTCAACTGATTTTATCTGACAGAACTTGTCTTGCTTATTGTGTTCTTCAGCCACCACAGGAATCTTTAGAGCATTTAGAATTTACATTACCAGCTTGTCAGATGTTTCAGAAGCACTGTTAGGGCTTTGGTTGTTGTTGCATCCAGACTCCATAAATAAGGAGTTTGAAATAGAAACTTCCAAATATTCATGATTTTCCATGTGTGTTTTATGTTTTTTAATATCTAAATACTAAACATTTTACTAGTAGAAGAGTTCATTTTAGTGCTGATAATCTTTAAATGACACAGACAGATAAAGCATGGCCTCATGTAATATTACAGCACGGAACTTTGTAGTTCTGAAACTCGGCTAATACAGAGCTCTAGTACGTGACATCCTCAGTCTGTATGGGAGGTGACTACTGTGATGTCTGTTCTGACTTGTCTTACATAGGTAGGTTGCTGCCATGGTCATAACATTTTTTTCCACCTTATTTTACTAAATATCTAAATCTAGTCACGTAGAATTGTTCCTTTATCATCATGGAAGCTGTTTCAATATGTGTTTAAAATAACTGTTCACGACGGCATTCCCAGTAGGCAGAGCTCAGCGCTTTGTATGTCACACGTAGGAGTGCGGTATCAGGTTTTGTGACTTGCATTTATGTCACCTGGTCAGGTACTTACTGAGCACTTTGTGTGCTCCATTGTACGGACTAAATGGAATTAGACGTTTCAGATGCCAGTTCTCATATGTATGCTTGTTCTGCTTTGCCAAATTCAGGTAACTTTTTTCAGCCATATTGTCTTATTTATTTAGAATCTGCACCAGGAGACAAGGCAGTATCACATTCTTGCACAACTCCTTCCACGTCTTCTGCCTCTGGACTGAATCCCACGTCTGCACCTCCGACATCTGCTTCAGCAGTCCCCGTTTCTCCTGTTCCGCAGTCACCAATACCTCCATTACTTCAGGACCCAAATCTTCTTAGACAGTTGCTTCCTGCTTTGCAAGCTACACTGCAGCTTAATAATTCTAATGTGGACATATCCAAAATAAATGAAGGTAAATTTTCATAGTAACAATGGTTATCATGTTTTTTTCCCCAAAAAGATTTGAGAGACAGACCAACAGTGAGCTCCCATCCAGCTGTTTCACTCACCAAAAGACCTGCCGTGACTGTTGGCAAGGCAGGAATAAGAGCCGGGAACAAAGTCCAGGTCTCCCGTGTAGGTAACAAGGACCCAAGTACTTGAGCTGTCTCCTGCTGCCTTCCAGCGTGTGTATTAGCAGGAAGCTGGAATTTGGAACAGAGCTGAGATTCAAAACCCAGGCATTCTTAACTGCTAGACTAAAAGCCTGCCCCCATAGTGAAAAGGTATTTAAAATGTATTTATGGGGGCCGGCACTGTGGCTCACTTGGTTAGTCCTCCACCTACAGTGCCTTATGGGCACCAGGTTCTAGTTCCGGTTGCTCCTCTTCCAGTCTAGCTCTCTACTGTGGCCTGGGAAGGCAGCGGAGGATGGCCCAAGTGCTTGGGCCCCTGCACCCGCATGGGAGCCCAGAAAGAAACACTTGGCTCCTGGTTTCAGATCAGCATAGCTCTGGCCGTAGCAGCCATTTGGGGAGTGAACCAATGGAAGGAAGACCTTTCTCTGTCTGTCTCACTATCTAACTCTGTCAAATTAAAAAAAAATATTGTAAAATGTGTTTGTGTTGTATAAAATTAGTAAATCTCTGCTTTAGTACTAGTCTTTTTTCCCTTATATTTGAACTTCTCAGAATTTAGAATTTATGTTCCACATAGTTTAAAGCCATGGCATATAATTGGGTTACATTTGTGTATATTTTTCAAGACTTGCTATGTATCTGGTAGTTACTAGAGATGAATCACTTCTGTAAGTGCTAAGTACTAGGAAATGAGGAGTTCAGGTAGTTATATAAAATACTTGAAACATTTTCTGAGAAAGGGGTAGGTACTGGATAAAATTTTGCCATTTTTTCCTGATTAATTACAATGTTTAATTCTGGCCTCTTAAGTATCAAAAGTACATGGTTTCCTAAGTACCATCTTTTTTCTGTTCACTCTTAATTAAAAGGTTGTTGGAATGGGTATGGCTGAAGGGTTTGTGTGGCTACTTTTCTAAAAATAAAAAAAATCATATGAATAACAGCCATTTATCTGGTTAATCTTATATACTGCCCTGTGCACTTCCCATAAAATTGGCTAGGTTTCTGGGATAACCCACAGTTCTGAGAACACGGTCTAGTGTTTTCTAAAAAGTCTCACACTGAGGAGTTTTAATGGTAGATCTTAATTTATCTTTATTGTAAACTCACTCATTTTCTATCTACCTCAGATTATTTTTAATCTTTTCAATATTTTTAAGAGATTTAGTTATTTGAAAGGCATAGTGACACAGAAAGAGAGGGATCATCCATTCTCTGATTTACTTCCTATGCGGCCATGGTAGGTAGCCAATGCCTGAGCCAGGCTGATGCTAGGAGCCAGAAACTCTAGCCTAGTATCCCACATGGAGGGCAGGGGCTCAACTACTTGAGCTGTCACTGCTGCCTTCCTGGGCACATTAGCAGGAAGCTGGATCAGAAGTGGAACAGGCAGCATTTTTTTAAAAGATTTATTTATTTATTTGAAAGAGTTCTACAAAGAGAGAAGGGGATGCAGAGAGGTCATCCATCTGCTGGTTCACTCCCCAGTTGGCCACAATGGTTGGAGCTGCACCGATCTGAAGCCAGGAGCATCTTCTGGGTCTCCCACGTGGGTACAGGGCCCCAAGTCCTTGGGCCATCTTCCACTGCTTTCCCAGGCCATAGCAGAGAGCTGGATGGGAAGTGGAGCAGCTGGGACATGAACCAGTGCCCATATGGGATGCCAGCACTGGAGGCAGCGGCTTTACTCGCTATGCCACAGCACCGGCCCCCATCTTAAATCCTTATACCCATTATATTGCATCTTCTAGGTTTTGTTTCTTTGTTGTTTATCTTGGTTCTTTTTTATTATTTTTTACTTATTTATTTGACAGGTAGAGTTATAGACACAGAGAGAGAGAGACAGAGAGAAAGGTCTTCCTTCCATTGGTTCATTCTCCAAATGGCCCCTATGGCCAGTGCTGTGCCAATCCAAAGCCAGGAGCCAGGTGCTTCCTCCTGGTCTCCCATGTGGGTGCAGGGTCCCAAGCACTTGGGCCATCCTCCACTGCCCTCCTGGGCCACAGCAGAGAGCTGGACTGGAAGAGGAGCAACCGGAACTGGAACCCACCACCCATATGGGATGCTGGTGCCACAAGGCGGAGGATTAACCAAGTGAGCCATGGCACTGGCCCCTGTTTCTCTTGTTTCAAAAATTCATTTATTTTAAAGGTAGAGTTAACCAAGAAAGATCTTCCACTCCCGAGTGACCCCAGTATCTGAGGTTAGGCCAAGCTGCTCTAGGAACTTGGAACTCAATCTGTGTCTCCCACAGGCCCCAACACTTAGACTGTCTTCTGCTACTTTCCCAGGCCCATTAGCAGGGAACTGGTTAGAAGTAGAACAGCTGGGACTGGAATCGGCACCTGTATAGGACACTGGCATTGCAGGCAGTGGCCTGACCCACTATACCACAGTGCACGTCATCACCCATTTTCTAGGTTTTTATTTCAAGAGTTCCAGTTGTAAGTGCTTCATCTGTTTTCCCAGTCCTGTTCAAGTTTCCAGGTTGTTACTAATGCTTTGTAGGCCTCTGTGCTTCTGTTTGAATTTATGAAGTAATGTTTTTAGTTCTTACAGCAGCTGTGACCCAGGCTTCACTGCGGTCCATAATTCATAAGTTTCTTACTGCTTTCAACATAACCTCTCTGATCTCTCAAGCTGCACAACTCTCAACACAAGGTATCCGTATTCTTAGAAATGTCTACAATTGTCTGGAATTTTATCAGCACTTCTTAAAAACTTCTTTAAAGATTGGCTATCTTTATTTTAGCTGGTTTTGGTAACACTAGCATTATAGTAGTATATGTATTTCCCTTTTTAATGTTTTTAGATGATGCTTTGGAATTTATCTTAAGGTATTACTGTAAATCTGTAATATAGTGTGATTTAAGTTGCTAATAAAAGAGTTTTACTCGAAAGCTGAAGGTAAACTGCAATGTGCCCTCAATCTTCAGAAAGCATTGTTATATATTTGAAGAGCTGAAGTTTGGGCAGGTTGATGTTAGATGATTCTAAATACACACACACACACACACACACACACATTATATTTGAGAGGGAGAGACAAAGAGATCTTCTGTCCAGTGGTTTACTCTCTAAATGGCTGCAACAGCTGGGACTGGGCCAGGCCAAAGCCAGGAGCCTGGAACTCCATCCAGGTCTCAGATGTGGGGGTCAGGAACCTAGTGTTTGGGCCATCTTCTGCCGCCCCCTCAGGACCTTAGCAGGGAGGTATATCAGAGGCATAGGAGCTAGGAGCTGAACCAGGCTTGCCCAGCTGGGATCTGGTGTCTCAAGCAACAATTTGCATAATGCCTGTCCTGATGTCAGGTGACTTGGCTACATGATATGGAAAAAAAACCAGTTCTTGCCTTGAGCTAGTGGTCCCTCTTCAAGTAGAGTGGCGCAAAGGCTCTTGAAGTCCTTTGACTAGGCTATGCAGCAGGAGACTGAGCACAGGACAGTGCCTGAGCCTCAGCGAAGTAATGACGGTGCTGAAGGGCTGCTGTGTGAGGTTAGGCTCAGGCTCAACTCCTTGCTGTGGCCTTGGAGTCCTGTGCTGGGTGTGCTGAGCTCTGACACAGAGCTCGTTTAGTCAGTGAGTCCACGTTGGATGTCGGTTTCTGACTTGGTTGGGTAAGTGTTCTTTGGGGGACCTAGGATTGTGGGGGGTATGTAGAGTGATGCAGAGATGTGTCTCCAAGAATAAGCACACCTCAGACTAACACAGTCCCTATCAAACCTTTGATTAGTACTCCTCCTGTTTCATCACAGCCAAAAGTATGTCACTTCTGAGGGAAATTCGCAAAAGTTCCAAGTTAACAACTGTTAATTTTTGAGTAACCTTATTATTTGTCTGCATTTTGATGAGGGAGCAACCAAAATGTGAGTTTCAGCAAACAGATCTTATTTCTAGAGCTTAGAAGTTATCTTCAGTCTGTTTAAAAATAGTGCCTAAAAGTGAAATGCATGGTAATATTAGTTTTCTAGTCCCTGAGAAAATCACTGCATCAGATCCCTAAAGCAATGGAGGTCAGTTCATCACTTTCAAAGTTCTTTTTCAAGTTGGTTTTAAGAATACTTGGATATTTGAACTTATGTGGAACTTCCTAAATAATATGTTCTTTATGAAAAGACTTTTTGATTAGAAATGACAGGTTATTAATATTCTGAAGCGTCAAGTCTATCTAGATTTGTTTTGGGCGAATTCTTAGAAATCAAAAACCCTGCTGCTTTAGGATATGACTTGATCAAAACGGCCCCCTCTGTTTTTGCCTTGTTGCTGTAATTTGGGGCTTTTATTTTAAACTACTTTTTTTTTCTTCCCTCTCTGGCTCCTAAAAATAACATATGTGTCCCATAGGCAGCCATAAACCTGTATGGGGTGATAAACATCTCTGTTAATCAGAGATGGGCTGTAGCTCATTCTGTGGTTGGACCACTCTATATTTCTCAAGAAGTTATTGAAATCTGAGCGTGCATGTTTGTATGAACATAGATAATTGGTTTTATTGCTTTTGTTTGGATTACAGAAGTAGCAGTAAATGAAGAGAGATTAGAGTAGATTGGAAGGAAAGCTGTAGTGAAAAGTCAAACGTAGTTTCTTGGGCTGTTGTGTGATTTTATGGTTTTGACCTTGAACTAGTTTATGATTTAAGTTTCAAAACTTAGACTGTCTTCTAGCTATGTGGCACTTGATAACTTCTTTTAAAAATCTGGATTCAAGAGTCTTTAAGATTGTTAGCTAGGTTTGCTGGGGGCAAGATATGGATTGGATTGAGAACCTAACTTTACTTTTTACAATTAAATATGCTTGTATCCAGTAGTAGCAATTTTATTGTGAAACAGAATTAAGACAACTGTTAAAATCACTGGAAAGTAGAAATGACAGGAAGTTTCATTGACAGTAACACTTGACTTTGCTCTAATTTCGATGCTGGCTGTGTGCCCAAAGCCTTCCTCCCCAGGTTTTTCTGTGTCAGGTTAGTACTCCAGTAGTTAAGCAAGGACCAGTGCCCCAGTCAGCCCCACAGCAGCCTGTGACTGCTGACAAGCAGCAAGCTCATGAACCCGTCTCTCCTCGAAGTCTTCAGCGCTCAAGGTAAGTTGATGTGTGTTGAAACTGCCTCGTGGTTTTCTTTAAAATGACGGAGAGTGCATTGTTCAGCTGTGATTATGGAGACTAGAACCTGGTCTTGGGAGAGGTCATGGACAGCCTGGCTTAGCAGTGTACAGACAGATCTTCCATACAACAAAGGGAAGGAATGTTGTCTCCCGCAGAGCGGCCTCGGTTATTTTGAAGCCAGTGGCCCTTTTCTTTAGAATTTACAGTAGGTGGGATTATGTCATACTTGCACAAAAGACATCCGATTTTCCTTTATTTGTTGGAATTAGATCACTTTTGACCTCATAGCAGTTTTCATTGAATGTATCGCACACCGCAAACGTGGGCCAGTGTTTCCCAACCGGTGTGTGGCAGGCTTTCCTGATAGCTTGTGCTTAACCCTAAACAGACTGGTTTTCAGATCTGCAATTGCCACTGTATGTGTTTTCACTTCATGTGTTCATTAGTAATCAACTTGAAATGAAACTTGTTGAGTGGAATGCGGCGTCTGGGTCAGCGTCAGCGTCCCAGCGTCGTCGGGGTCAGCGTCAGCGTGTGTAGCGTCGGGGTCACGTAAACGTCGTGGGCGGGGCGGCTCAGTTCCTCGGCGGGCGGCGGCGAGGAAGGATGCAGCCGGGGCGGTAGGGATTCTTCTGAGAAACCGAGAAGTCGGCGGCCAGCAAGGAAGCAGAGGCAGGTGGGGCCGGTGTTGGTGTAGGCCTGGGCAGCGGCGGTGAAGGAGGCGGCGGTAGCGAGGGTGAGGGGTGGCGCGGATAGAGGTGGCGGGTCCGTGTCGGGCGTCCTGGGCGGGGAAGGGCGGCTCTGCCCCGGCCTAACTGAAGCCTGGGCTTCCTAGGCGGTAAGTCTCAGTCTTCACTGGTGGCGGGTTCCTCGCTCACGTCCGACTTCCCCGGGTCTCAGAAGAGTCGCCACTGCCGCGGCTACATCCTTCCTGCCATTCCACGTGACCCCGACGCTCGGACGCTGACGCTGACCCAGACGCCGCATTCAACGTTGCATCGGGGTCAGCGTCAGCGTCCGAGCGTCGTGTGCGGTGTCGGGGTCAGCGTGCGTAACGTCGGGGTCACGTAAACGTCGTGGGCGGGGTGACTCAGTTCCTCAGCGGGCAGCGGTGAGGAAGGTTGTGGCGGTGGCGGTAGCGATTCTTCTAAGAAACCGAGAAGTCGGCGGTCAGCGAGGAAGCAGAGGTAGGTGGGGGCGGTGTTGGTGCAGGCCTGGGCAGCGGCGGTGAAGGAGGCGGCGGTAGCGAGGGTGTTGGGTGGTGCGGATAGAGGCGGCGGTGGCGGCTCCGTGTCGGGCGTCCTGGGCGGGGAAGGGCGGCTCTGCCCCGGCCTAAGTGAAGCCTGGGGCTTGCTAGGTGGGAAGTCTCAGTCTTCGCTGGCGGCAGCAGTGGCTGAGGACCAGGAGAACCAGGAAGCGGTGGGTGTCGGCGTGGGCGTCCTGTGGGGCGTCCTGCTTTGCACAGCACAGTTCGTGGGCAGGCAGCAGTGGCGGTGAGGAAAGACACGGTGGCTGGGCCATTCTGGCACAGAGTCCAGCGGTCAGGAGCATCAGCAGCCGGTGAGGAAGCAGGTGGGAGTGGCGGTGCTGACGCCATGGGCAGCAGCGAAGCAGGCGGTGGCGGGGGCTCTGTGTCGGGCAGCGGAAGAGAGAGGCCGGCAGTGGCGGCTTGAGATGGCAGTGACGTCAGCATCAGGTAGGCACTACAGATGAACAGGTTGGGGAGGAAAACTGGTCATAACAGTCATATTCTGCATCATGCAGGGGAAGGAAGGTAGGCAGTCAATTGCAAGGGAGGTTTCTCTAGCTTTGAAAGTGCCCCTTACACCAGCTTTAGGCTAACAGCCTTTGGGTGTCATTTGTCAGATTCTTGGGGGTGCACATATGATGTGGGAGTTAAGTTTCTCCCTGGGATGTCTGTGCCCTGTGTCCCAGTGCCCGGATTTGAATTATGGATCCATTTCCAGTTCCAGCTTTCCCGCTAATGTGTGTCCTGGGGAGACATCAGGTGATGGCACAAGTGTCTGGGTACTTGTCAGCTACATGGGAGACTGAGTTCCTGGCTCCTAACTTCAGCCTGACCAGTCCTAGCTGCTGCAGGCATTTAAGGAGTACAGGAGTAAATGGGAGAGCTACCTCTCTTTGCCTCTTAAATAAATAAAGTTAAAACTCTTCAAAAGTGGGTGATCTTTATCTATTCTTAAGATTTATTTCAGAAGCAGATACTTATACCCATGCAGGTACATGCACGTGCACACACACACACACACACAGTGCAGGAAACAGACATAAAGAGGGTTCTCATCTGGTTGACTTTCTAATTCTCACAACTACTGGGCCTGAGCCTGGCTGAGTTGAGGGTTGGAGAATTCATTCCGTGTTCCCAGCAAGGGTGATGGGTATCCAAATACCTGGGTCCTATCCACTGCCCTCCAGGTCCACATTACAGGCAGCTAGACTCAGGAGCCAGAAACAGGTACCCGATTTCTTGAGCCGTCACAACTGCCTTCTCCATCCACATTAATAGGAATCTGCTAGAGTCAGGAACTGGAGGTGGATACTGAAACGGGTACTTCAAGGATGGAATGTAGGTGACCTTAATTGGCTTGGTAATCAAGATTTCAAATCCTTGCCCCTCTGAATTCTAAAATCATTACAGTTTAGTAACAGTTTTAAAAGGAAATTAAGAATTACAACGTGTTTTAATTTCATTTCCTTCATACATTTATTTCTCTGCAAATAATCTTCATCTTTTTCATGTGTACACACATCTTAGTATATGCTTTGGTACTATGTGAGGTTTTGTGATGTTATATGTAGTTTTTTTTAACATATCCTGTGTATAGTTAATACATTTCAATAATTGTTATTTATTGAATGTACCTTATTTTCTTAGTTCTATATTGAGTTTTTGCAGTTTTGGCAAATGGGTAAGCAGTGATATAGGGAACAAATTAATGTGCATTGGTTTTCTTTGTATTTCTTTTCTTTTCATTAGTGTTTAACAGACTCTGTGCTTTGTGGACACAACTGTAAGAACACAATGATATTGCCTTCCTTCCTCCCCCTTTCTCCTTTCCACTGTGTTTCCTTCTCCTTTTTCTTTCTGTCTTTGGTTTAGATTTTGAGCCTATTTTCAAATTACATTGCAGTAAAAAGGCTTAATACTTTACCAGATAAGTTTAACGAAAAAAAAAAAAACAAAATTATTCAGTTTAGTGAGACTATAGACAACTACTGTAAATAGTAATTGAAATAGAAAAATGATTGTTTCAACCGTATGTGGTAAATCTTTAAGTAATTATAGATCATTAAAATTGTGGGCTGTCACCGTGGCTCAATAGGCTAATCCTCCTCCTTGCAGCACCTGCACACCAGGTTCTAGTCCTGGTCGGGGTGCCAGATTCTGTCCTGGTTGCCCCTCTTCCAGGCCAGCTCTCTGCTGTGGCCCAGGAGTGCAGTGGAGGATGGCCCAAGTGCTTGGGCCCTGCACCCCATGGGAGACCAGGAGAAACACCTGGCTCCTGCTTTGGATCAGTGTGGTGCGCCGGCCACAGCGGCCATTGGAGGGTGAACCAACAGAAAGGAAGACCTTTCTTTCTGTCTCTCTCTCACTGTCCACTCTGCCTGTCAAAAAAGTTAAAAATAAATAAAATTGTGGTGGGATAACATTCTTAACCATTGTTTCACACATAGGTATAAAAGAAAGTTTTACAAACTGTATTTTCAGCAGTACTGATACACACAAACATTTCTTTCTGTTTGATTCCCGGAGATTCCTCCCAGCAGTGTCTAAGTGTTCCTTTTCCCCCACATCCTTTGCAGCATTTGTTACTCTGTTGTTTGGATTTTAGCCATTCTAATAGGGATGAGGAGCTATCTCATTGTGGTTTTGATTTGCATTTCCCTGAAGTCTGGAGATGTTGAGCATTTTGCCATATGTTCGTTTGCCACTTGTATTTCTTCTTTCAGAGAATTGTCTGTTGAAGTCCTTTTCCATTTCTGAACTGGATTGATTTTGTTGTTGACTTTTTTAAGTTGGATATATATTTGGGATATTAGTCCTTTGCAGATAGATGGTTTGCAACTATTTTTTCCATTCTGCTGGATGTCTCTCCCCTCGAATTGTCACGTCCTTTGTTTCCGAGTTTTATATAGTCCTATTTCCTTAGTTTTGCTTTTGTTGCCTGTGCTTCAGGGTTCCCATCCAAGAAGTTGTTCCTACACCAATGTCTTTGAGTGTTTCCCCTACGTTTTCTTCCAGCAACCTCATAATGTCCATAATGCCAGGTCTTAAATTGGTTCTTTGATGTATCTTCAGTTGATGTTGATTTTTGTATGTGAAGAGAGATATGGATCTACTTTCGTTCTTGTGCGTATATGCATCTAGATTTGCCAGCACCAATATTATCCTTAACTCCACTGTGTGGTCTGAGCACTTTTGTCAGAAGTCAACTGGCTATCTGTATGTGGATTAAATTCTGGGCTCTCTCTTCTGTTCCATTGAGCTACACGTTGGATTTTATGCCATCAGTAAGCTGTTTTAATGACTACAACTTTGTAGAATGCTTTGAAATCGAGTATTATGATTCATCCAGGTTGGCTCTCTTATTCTAGATCACTCCAACTATTTGTGGCCTTTAGTGATTCCATATGAATTTTCTTTAAAGATTTTATTTATTTGAGAGGTAGAGTTACAGATAGTGAGAGGGAGAGACTGAGAGAAAGGTCTTCCCTTTCCCTGGTTCACTCCCCAAATGGCTGCAACGTGTTATTGTTGCTATAGCATATTCAGCCCTGTTATCTGTTCTATATTTCTTGGAAAAGAGATTACTTTTTCAAAGTGAGTGAGTATTTGTATACTTTTAGTATTAATGCATATATGTAACTTACAGATCCCTCTGTCTATACCTTAGTTCTAGACAGTGAAAAATGGGGGAGAAATACAGAGGATATACAAACAACTTTTGAAAAAT